AAAAAAAAAAAAAAAAAAAAAAAAAAAAAACAGGCAGGAGGCAAGTGTGGTGTCGCATATCTGTAATCCCAGCACTGGAGAAGCTGAGGCAGGAGGATTGGCAGTGAGTTCGAGGCCAGCCTGGGCTACATAGTTTGAGGTCAGCCTGGACTGCAAAGCGAGACCCTGTCTCAAAAAAAATAAAAATAAAAAACAGGCGGGAACTGGGAGTGGTGTCCCACGCGTGTAATTCCAGCACTAGGGAGAGAGGCTGAGGCAGGAGGATCGGCAGTGAGTTTGAGGTCAGGCTGGGCTACATGGTGAGATCCTACCTCGAAAAAACACAAAAACAAGAAAGAAAGAAAACCAGGGAGCTGTGTCTCCTCCTGGTTGTAAAGGATCTAGAGGTGTGGGAATGCGGTGTGTGCCATGAGGTGGAGCACGCGTGCCCACACGCACACCCAGGAGGCCCCCGGCATCCCTGCTTCTGCGTGCTGCCTTGTGGCTGAGCCCCTGCATGCCTGGATGGTAGCCTTGGTCCCACGAGGCCTGTGCACTCAGCTTCCCCTTGGTGTGTGCTTGATGCCATGGGTCAGGCACTCTTTGCAGTTTACTGCCTGTATGTGACTTACATGTGCAATTTCGAAACTGAAACTCTTTTCAGAAGGAGGAGACTCTTGTGGCCTTCCTCGTGGGAACTCCTTCTGCTTCTGTGCAGGCTTTGAGGCGGCTCCGCTGCCTCACCTGACCCTGCCTGCCGCCATACCCCCGCAGGAAGTGGGTCAGAGGAGGGGCTGGCGAGGCCTCCGTGGCCCTGCCCATTGTCACTTCAGCAGAGTGTGCTGGTTCCTTTTCTCTGAGGTTTGGGGGTTGGTTATCTGGTTTGCTTTTGTGGTTTTTTGGTGCTGTCGGTGCAGCTTAGCACCTCACACTTCCACCTAGCACCAAGTGCTCTACACGGACCCACACCACCTACCCTACTGGCGCGTTGTCTAGTGGGCTTAACTGATCACTGGGTTTTTTCCCAGGTTTCTTTTCACTTTGTTCCTCGCCTATTAATCAGAAATAACATCTCACACCCCATCCTTACCTCCCGAGAGGAGCCAGGCATGTCCACACCAACTCTGACCCAAAAATTCTCACAGTGGCTCCATTGTTCCCTGTGCTGGCAGCAGCCCCACAGCTCCTCTCGGCTGGGGAGAGGTGGACAGTGCGCCTGTCCCCCGCCAGGCCAGACCCCACTTACCAGCATGTGGCCAGGCAGCAGCCAGCAAAGGCAGGTAATGCCCATACCTTAGCAGCAGCCCTGGCCATGATGAGGAATGAGAGACACAGATGAGGGCACCAGGATGTGGGATAGGGCACAGGGAGAAGGCATGGAGCAGGGCTCCCCCGGTGCTGCAGAGGGGCACTCCTGCAGCAGAGTGCAGAGGGATAGAGCCGGAGTCTTCATCCTAACCTTAACCTGATAGTTAAGGTCTTCAGTGTTCCAGGTGAGGTATTTTTCTGTCTTGTTTTGTTTTTTCCTTTTTTTTTTATCAGTACTGGGGATCGAACTTAGGACCTTGTTGCGCTTGTGAGGCAGGAGCAGTGCCATTGAACTAAATCCCTGGTCATTTGTTTGTTTGTTTTGGTTTTTTTGAGACAGGGTCTCACTGTGTAGTTGAGACTGACCTGGAACTCACTCTGTAGCCCAGGCTGGTCTAACTCACAGCGATCCTCCTGTCTCAGCCTCTCAAGTGCTAGGATTACAGGCATGCGCCACCACGCCTGGCTGTTTGTTTTTGGTGTGACAGGATTGAACCCAGGGACCAAATTTTTACTTTATATGGAGAAATAGTCTCTCATTTAGTTGTACTGGAGCACCTTTAACTTGTGATCCTCCTGCCTCAGCCTGGGAACACAGGTGTGCACCAGCATGCTCAGCTTTTCCAGAGTTTCCAAATTTTACTCTAAATGGGTTGACATGTTCAGTGCCTCATGCTCGCCCTGGACTCTGTCCCCAGTGCTGTGAATACAAATAAATGAATTGATGTGAATGTTTTTACCCACAGCAGACTGGTGCTGCTCTGGCCACCGTGTGAGGCAGGGCTGCCGAGTCAGTGCACGAAGTGACTCGGCCTGGGCAGCTCACCACATGAGCCTGTCCTGTGCCCCAGGGCAGCCACCTTATGGGGGCCACCACCCTGCCGCCAGATGCGCCCATTTCACCTGCCTGCCCAAGCTCTGCCCTGTGCTTCACTAGCCAAGCTGCCATTTTCATCCACATTCTGCAGTTCGTAGCTAGTCCCTTGGCGTTTGCTGCTTGGGCTGTGTTTTGTGAGGTGCTGGGCGTGAAGCCCAGGCCCTTGCACGTGCGGGGCAAATGTTGTACCCCTCAGCTGCACCCGAGGCACTTAAAAGTCAGGGTCTTATTAAGGTGCCAAGCTACCTCAACCTGTGATCCTCCTATCTCAGCCTCCCCCCGTAGCTCAGATCACAGGTGTGCACCACCATGCCCAGCTGCCCTTGGTGTCTTCTACACATGAGTGGAAACACACACATAAGTACATTTGGCAGAGGCCCTGGTAGGCCCGTGAGCTCTGTTCTTCCGTTGTCCAGGTCCCTTTTCTCTGAGTAGAATCACATGGGCCCTATTCTCCTGAAGGACTGAGCTGTCTCCATTGGTGATTCTTTTTGGTTCTTTTGAGCGGAGGTTGGTTTTTTTGAGATAGTCTCAGTGTGTAGCCCAGGCTGGCCTCAAACTCATGACAATCCTCCTGTCTCAGCCTCCTGAGGCGTGCCCCACCTGCTCAGCCATCTGTTGGTTCTGTGGTGCTTATACAGGAAGAGCTTCATAAACTTGAGCCATGTGTGAGCGCGCGGAGTCTGCGTGTATTTGCCACACGTGCCCACATGTGCGTGTCAGTGGGCAGCGCTGCCCGCCAGCTGTCACCGGAGCCATTGGCACCGGGTGTCCTGGGCAGCCGTCCTGGCCACCAGCCTGGCCCCCTCATGCCAGCCCCTGTGCATCCCAGGCCCACGTGGTCGGCTCCCGGCCCAGTTCTCCCCGGCTGCTTCTCTCGCGGTGCCTCCCCCTGAGATCCCAGAGCAGAAATAAAAACCGGACTATTTTTACCCTCAGCACTCCCTGTGGGCTGCTCCCCTGTGCCCACGTGGGGGCTGCAGAGGCTCTTCTCTTCCTGCGTCTGCCTCTGAAAGTGTGAGTTTCAGCCTCGAAATAGCCCGTGTCCCTGAACAGATCCAAGGGGCCACTGGAGGCAGAGCCACAGTCAGGGACACAGGAGTGGGCTCCGTAGTGAAAAGGGCCCCCTGTGTAGAGCCTGTGGAGGGTGGTGTCTGTCACAGATGCCACCAGGCCGGGCTCAGCCCCCTCCCGTTGTCCCTGTCCTTGGACACCTGTTGTCTCTACAGGAAGGACTCTGTCCATTCCCCATAGCCGTGAGGGCCCTGTTGCATCCCACAGTCAGGGAGGCACCGCACTGATGCTTCTGTCCACCCTCCCATCTTGTTTCCTCTCTGCTGGGTCAGGTGGCACCCACCGCACTTACATCCTGACCTAGTCTTGTGGCATCTCCTGTTCTGGACACTGAGGTCTGCTGCCTCCCTCCTTGTATAATACGCCAGGCCAGCCCTGGCTCCTTCCTCCCCGAGAGCAGGGCCATCACCTGTCTACCTGTGGTCGTTTCCACCTAACCGGCTTCCTCTGAGCGGCCCATGTCACTGTCGAGGGGTCTGGTATGGCCACCTTCTCCCCGACATCTTGGGCTCCTGGCTGCTGTACCGTGTGCGGGGGTGCGGGTCGGGCTGAGCGGTGTCTTCACCCACCCCGTCCCCCCAGGAAACAGGTCCTGGGGACCAAGGTGGATGCGGAGCGCGACGGCGTGAAGGTGCCCACCACACTGGCCGAGTACTGCGTGAAGAGCAAGGCGCCGGCGCCCGACGAGGGGCCGGACCTCCTGTACGACGACTACTACGAGGACGGCGAGGCGGAGGCGGACGAGGAGGCTGGCAGCTGTCTGGGGGACGAGGACAGCTCCAGCAATGAGGGGTCCTGACGCTGCGCCCCAAGAAATAAACTCTCAGATTTTACCTCACGACCGGCCTGGTGGGCTCGGCCCTCGGACTACCTCACGGAGCTCCCGTGGTCCCTCCTGGCGTGCGGCTCCTGGGTCCTCTGCTCCCCCTGTTCGGGGTTTGCCTCTGCTGCAGAGGACCGTGACTGCCCGAGGCCTGGGCTCCAGGGACTGGCGTGACCCAGTGGGGTCCTTGAAGCCAGAGGCGACAGGTGGGCGAGTTGGGAGGGCCCAGGTGATGTGGGGTTGGGGGGCGGGACCTGCTGCCCAGCAGCTCTGCAAACTCAGCATCCGGCAACGAGTGGTGAGTGACTTGCGGCCCCTCTCCTCTGCTCATTTGGTTTGAATCTAAATAAAACTGCTTTATGAAGAGGCAGATGTTCTCTTGGACGAGGTGGCCCAGGGCTGCTTGTCCCCAAGGACTGTAGGCCAGCTCAGGGCCACCACAGCCACCAGGACTGGGGTTGGTCGGGGGGCTCCTGTCTGGCGCTGGAGAGCAAACCCAGGGCCTTTGCCCTTAGACACTTCTCCACCCCTTTTAACTTTGAGTCAGGGTCGAAGTTGTCCCAGTTGGCCTTGATCTTGGCATCTCCCTGCCTCTGCTTCCCAGAGTGCTAGAGTAGCAGACAGTACCGCCATGCCAGGCAATTTCTGTCTTTTCTTACAACCAGGAGGCCACCCAGGCCACAGCCTCACCCACCTCTTCCCCTTGGCTCTGTGGCCCTGTGCTCTGTCAAGGGTAAAGGACAAATGAGTCCAGCAGAGGGGAGGCTGGTGGGTGTGTTAGCGTGTAACAGGTGCAGCTTCCCTTTGGAAAGGTGAGACAGTCCTGCAGACAAGTGGTGATGGTTCACAGCCACGTGGATGTGCTTAACACCTCTGAGCTTTTTCTGCAAGAATGGTTAAGGTGGTCGGTTTTGTGCATCTTTTTATCACAATAAGGAAAAGGCTGGATGTGGCTGTTCCAGTGTAATTGCAGTGCTCTGGGAGCCTGAGGCAGGAAGATCGCAACGTCAAGCCCAGCCTAGGCAGCATACCTTGGCAAGATCCTGTCTCAAAGGTGTTGGGGGGCAGTGGGTAGCAGGGGATTGGTTTAATCACAAATACTGAAAAAATGAAAAGCAAGAGGCACGCCGGGACATATTTGAGTGCTAAGAGTGCCTGGCTAGCATTCATGGACCCTGGATTCCATCCCCAGCGCACATACGAAGATACAGCAGTATATACCTGTACCCCCCGCTACTGGGAAGGCTGAGGCAAGAGGGTCACAAATCAAAGCCAGCATGGACAATTTAGACCCTGCCTCAAAAGAACTAGAGGTATAGCTAAGCAAGTACTCTCTAGGTTCAATTCCCCAGTAAAACCACTCCCACCCCACCCCCAAAAAGGAGCTAGAGAGGGAAAGAAACAACTGGGCTTAGCACACACCTGTGATCCCAGCATTTGGGAGGCTGAGACGGGAGGGTTGCCGTGAGTTTGAAGCCAGCCTGGTTAACTTTTTGGGTGTGACCATGGTAGTGTGGCATGATCTCAGAGCCCCATCTTTTGAAATAGTTTTGGGGTGCTGGGGCTGGGGCCAGGGTTTCATACCTGCTGAGTCACACCCAGCCTTGGAGACCCTATGCAGGCAGGCTGTGGGTGAGGGAACCAGCAGGAGGAGGGAGGAGGGCGCCGGTGGGTAGGCTGGGGCTGTGAGAGTCACCATCCTCACAAGAAGAGGAGCGGGGAGGCCATGCCACACACAGGAGCCCCTTCGGCATGACGGCCGGCTCATTCCTGCTGCTTCTGTGGGTCCTGGGGTGCTGTGTGCAGGTGCAGGAGCTGGGGGCGGTGGCTGAGGCCCAAAGCTCTGGTACCCTGGTGGGGCTGTGGGTGACTGGGAACAGCTGCAGGTGAGAGAGCCAAAGATGGAAAAGAGATCATGGCCTCCCAGAAATGGCGTCTCCAGAAAGGTGAGCCCACATATCCTGATTGAAAACATGAAAATGAACCGGGCATAGTAGTACACATACCTGTGATCTCAGTACTCAGGAGGCAGAGGCAGGAGGATTGAGAATTCAAGGCTAGCCTGGGCATATAGACCCTGTCTCAAAAACAATCTGAGTCATGAGGGGAATGGTCACAGTTGTGTGAGAATTTCTTTTCCAACAAAAGCTGTAAGGATTTCCGTGTAGCTGGGTGTGGTGGTGCACACTTACAATCCCAGTGGCTCTGGGAGGCTGAGGCAGGACAATCCAGTTCAAGCCCAACCTATGCAATTTAGACGCTATCTCAAAAATGAAAAGGGGGAAAAAAGGGCTAGGATGTAGCTCGCTGCCAAGGCCCTGGGTTCACTCCCCAGTCCTGCCAAAAAGAGAAGGGAAAAATATGTGCTTGTGTTTGCTGTGAATGTTTCTTAAGGGGCTGGAGACTGGGGGGGTGGTGAGAGGGAGGTTCACTTTCTGCTGATAATTTTTAAATTTTTGTGCCATCTGCCTGGAGTTGTCAAAAACTAGAATGTTTTGAAAGCTTGTGATCCTGCACTTCAGAGGCTGAAGCAGGAGGATCACAGGGAGCTCACGACCAGCCTGGGCTACATAGCAAGACCCTGTCTCAACAACAACAAAAAATATATTTAAAACTATTTAAAAACAGGGCAGGGGATTTAGCTCAGTGGTTCCACCACCTGCCTCACAAGCACAAGGTCCGGAGTTCCATCCCTGGTACCAAAAAAAAAAAAAAAAAGGCATAAAACTATTTAAAAACAAAGTACGGGAGGTTAATCAGGGCGCAAGATTTGTTTTGCAGAGGATGAAAGAAAGCCTTGGAATTCAGGTGGTGAGGGTCGCACCTCTGCAGGCACAGAACTTCTAGTGAGGCTGGAGTGAAGACGCCCATGAAGCCGCCGTGGGAGTGAGGTCCCTTCAGAAGAAAGATGCGTTTTCTTTGTCATTCTGATTGAATTTTGGTGTTAGCAGAAAAGCTACAAAAAATGAGAACTCCCCCACCTCCAGCAGTTGCTGTTGTGCTGGGCGTGCTTTTTACAGAATCGCCTGAACCGGCCAGGGCTGAGCTGCATGTGGGCTGCCCTCCAGCTTCCTCCAGCTCTGGAGGGGGCTCTGAGACCTGCATGCTCCATCCTCCTCGCTCTGCCCGCAGCTGGCAGTCAGGACGTAGGACACAAGAGGCAGGGCTGTTAACACGCCATGTTTCGGACCAAGAAACCGAAGCTCAGAGCATGAAGAGCCCACCTAGGATTGCCCAGGTGATCACTTCAAAACCCTATGCTGGGCCAGGGTGGGCGCCTGGGAGTGTGAGGTGGAAGGCGGGGAGTGAGGTGTCCAGAACTCTGCTGGCTGGGGAAGCGAGGGTCTTTGACAAACTGGGACTTTACTGTGATGGTACCTTAGTCATGTTTCTTTTTTTTTTTTTTTTTTTTTTTTTTTTTGGTTTTCTGAGACAGGGTCTCACTATGTAGTTGAGACTGACCTGGAACTCAACTGTGTAGCCCAGGCTGATCTCGGAACTCACGGCGATCCTCCTACCTCAGCCTCCCGAGTGCCGGAATTACAGGCATGCGCCACCACTCCCAGCTTAGTCACATTTCTTGTTGCTGAGAAAAAACATCCAACACCGAAAATTAAAGGAGGAAAGCTTCATTTCAGCTCACAGTTCGTAGAGATTTCAGTCCAAAGCAGGGTGGCATCACCGAGGAGAAACAGTTCATGGCAAAGCAGGCCAGGCAGAAGGCGTGAGGCAGCAAGGTAGCAAAGCAGCTTCTCTCTGTCCCTTTATGTCTCCCAAACTACCTGCCAGCCCAGGGCGGGCCTTCCCATCATGCACACCCAGAACTGTGCCAGACCAATGCGTGGACTAATGTAGTAATCATGTCCTCTTAATCAGAGCATCACCCACCTCCCAGAACTCCCACCCATGAGTGCGTGAGGCTTTGTGGGGACATCAGACACAGCCGAAACGGATGGGAAGCATAGGTTCCGCCCATCCCTGCATCGTTCAGTCACCCATCTTTCAACCATCCGTCATCATCTGTCCCGCCCATCTGTCCATCTGTCCGTTCGTCCGTACGTCCGTCCATCCTTCCGTCCATGTATCATTCACCCATTCATTTGCCGATCCACCCGTGTATCAGTCAACTGTCATTCAGCCACCCACCCACCCGCCCATCCATCCTGACTCCAATTTAGCAAGCCCCTGTCTCAAAACATGAAAGGCAGGGAGGCCGGGGATGCAGCTCAGTGCAGAAGTCCTGGGTTCCAAGTACTGCAAAACAGGAATCATAGGAAGATTCTGAGCTGTCTTAACATTTTAAAGATATTCAGCAATCATTTTAATGGCCGGTCGTGTGCCAGTCCGGTGGCTTCAGCACCATCACACAACTGTGCAGCCCCCACCCCTGTCCAGGTGAGCGAATTCTATCACCAGGAAGGCGTGGTCAGTCACCCCGGCCCCTTCCCAGCCCCTGCCTCCACCAGTCCACTTCCGGTCTCCACTTCCGGTCCCTGGATTCAGCGGTCCTGATGTTTCTCATACAGTAGTTTACATTCATTTTTCTTTTCTTTTTCCTCCACACCGAGCTACATCCCCGCCCCCCCAGCCCCACACACTTTTTTTGTCCTAGAACAATTTATTTCAAATGAGCAAAGTACAGTATTGTTTATAGTATCTTTTTTTTTTTTTGGTATGGGGATCTAAATCCCCAGCCCTCCCATTTATAGTATTTTAAGACCGTGCCTTTGGTAGCCAGATGTGATCCACACCTATAAACCCAGCTACTTTGCAGGCTGAGGCAGGAGGATCACCAACCCCAGCCTGAGCAATTTAACTGTCTCAAAATTTTAAAAAAAGTGAAAAAATAAATAAAAATTAAAAAGCACAAAGGGCTGGGAATGTAGGTCAGTATGAAGACCCTAGGTTCCATTCCCAATACCACCAAAAAAAAAAAGATAAATTGTCTTTGAATAAGCGATCCCCTCCTGTACTTTGAGATCCATATTACATATCTAGAAATTTTACTACAGTAGAAAGTATCAAATCGAATATCAACTGATTTGATATCAATACCAATATGATTGATAATATATCTAGATATTATTGATATCAGCAATATCAAATCGAAGGGTGGAGGGGAAGGGGCTGCTGGGCTTTTTTTTGGTGGTGGGAGTCGAACTCAGGGCCCCCAGCTTGCCAAGCAGGCAGTGCACCACTGAGCTACATCCCTGGCCCTGCGTTTTCTTCTTGATTCATTGCTGAAGCGGGTCCTGCAGGCAGAGCTTTCAGTGTGCGGAGGGGTTTTACCAGGCTCTCAATCCCACCTTTGCCAGCACTCCTCTCCGGCCCACTGCACTGTTTGTTTTCATTTTCCTAACCAATCGTGCACACTTGGGTGCCCCTGGGTATTCAGAGCCACATCCTGTGTATCGAGGCTGTGTATTCCTTTTTCATAACCTGTCCTGGCCCATTGTAGCTGCCCACTGTCCCTGAGTCACTCTACAGCCACTGCCTCCTTTACTACCTACCCCAGGGCCAGGGGTTTAGCTCAGTGGTGCCACTACCTGCCTTGCAAGTGCAAGGACCCGAGTTCCATCCAGATGCCAAAAAAAGGAAGAGCAAGCTGGGCATGGTGGTGCACACCTGTAATTCCAGCACTCGGGAGGCTGAGGCAGGAGGATCGCTGTGAGTTCGAGACCAGGCTGGGCTACATAGTGAGTTCCAGGTCAGACTCAACTACATAGTGAGACCCTGTCTCAAGAAAACCAAAAAAAAAAAAGAAGGAAAAAAAAGAAAGAACAAAACACCTATCCCAGCCCTGGCCTTGACACAGAAGTGGACAGGGTGCCCTCAGGCCCTGGAGACACCACCTCACCAAGTCATAAATTTCCCAGGCTGGGCTCAAATTTGAGATCCTCCTGCCTCAGCCTCCTAGAGGTCTGTGATTACAGGCAGGCTCCACTGCACCTTGCTCTCATTGTATTTATGTTCTACTTATTTATTTTATTTTTTATTACTCCATGTTTGAAGTACATAATATTTACTTTCCACATGAGCAATTAATACATGTATAGAACACATCTTAGTTTTTTTTTTTCATCTCCCCTCCGTCTATCTCTTGGTCACCTTCCCTTTGCAAAAGATCTATCTCCTCGTTTCCTACTATCTTTTATTTTATTCGGTTTTTTTGGGGGGTTACCAGGGATCAAACTCAGGTTCTTGTGCTTGTGAGGCAGGCAGCGGAACCACTAAGCTAAATCCCTGGCTCCTTTTTATTTTATTCTTTAATTTATTTATACCATAGGTTTCTCATGTAAGAGAAAATGTGATATTTAAGTTTGTTCATCTGATTTGTTTCACTTAACATTATATTCTCAAAGTGTATCCATATTCCTACACATAACTCGTTTGTCCTTGATTCCTAATTATTAATTCATTCCTTTTTTGTTTTGTTTTTGCCTTTTATTTTGTTTTGTCTTGTTTTTTGATATCTACAGGATCTCATTATGTAGCCCAGGATGGTCTTGAACTCACTGCGATCCTCCTGCCTCAGCCTCCTGAGTGCTGGGATTACAGGTGTGCACCACCACCGTGCCAGGTCCTTGATTTCATTTTAAAGCTGACTTCTGGCTGCTTCACAGGGACTGGGCTGGTGGGGTCCTGAACAGAGGACAGGAGGGGTCAAAGGTGACGCCTGCGTGTCTATCTAGAAGTCTTAGGAACCACTGGGGACTTTATTAGGGTGATACTCCCCCCAATCTGTCCCCCACTCCCCCTGTACATGATCTCCTTGCAGAAGGATCATATCCACCAGTGCGGCAGGGTCCTCATACACCCACAATGGCTGGCAACTGGCTGCCCACTGCCTGGAGTACCCGTGAATACCCCACCACCCCTGCCGTCCCTGCACCCCAAGTCCCTACAGTCACCAGGCGGGCCCTGAGAGACCTGAGCCAGCACAGGAAGGTCCCTTCCCCTCTCCGCAGGCAGCTTCAAGCTGGGGGGTCGTGGGTGGTTTCACTTGTTACAGGGAGGGCTGCTTCCTTCCAAGCAAACTGATTTGGGCCACCTGTGGCGACAAGGCACACAGGAGGGAACCTGGTCCCTGTTGCCATGGAGAAACTGCTGCATCGCCAGGTGTGGTGGTGCACACCTATAATCCTGGCACTAGGGAGGTTGAGGCCAGAGGATTGCTGTGAGCTAAAGGACATCCTGGGCTTTATAGTGAGTTCAGGGCCAGCCTGAACTACATAGCAAGACCTTATCTCCAAAAAAGAGAAAGAGAGACAGAAGCTGCTATAAATAAGCCCACCCCGGGCTGCTCTGCCTCTGAACTGGTCAATAATAGATGAAACCGAAGTAATGAATAAGAACCTTTTGGCTCACATACCTAAGAAGTCCAGGAGGCCTAGCTTCAGGTGCAGTTTGATCCAGCAGCCCACATGAGCCTCTCCACAGGGAGGCAAGGGTGGATCCCTGGAGCCTTGTGGGAAGATTTGTCTCCCTGGTTCAGGCAAAGCTCTGAAAACTTGTGGACCCACATCCCACAGCAGCCTGGGCTGGGCAGGGGCAGGAGCAAGAGCAGGGGAGGCTGAGGGTGATGGTCACAGCTGCACACTCTGGGGACCTGGTGTCAGCAGGAAGAGGAGCTGATGGTGGAGTGGGTCTCCACGACTGCAAGGGCCCCAGCCTCAGCTTCCACATCGAGGCAGCTATCCGGCACCTGTACTATGTGCCACTGCCCAGGCTGGACCACGACCTCATGCTGCTGAAGGTGCCAGAAACGGGGAGGGGGCAGGCTGAGCCTGACCCTGCTGCTGAAAGGCAGGGTGAAGGCCCGCAAGACGGTCCAGGTCCTCTACTTGCCGCGCTCCGTAGTACCCAGAGGACGTGGTGCACTGCAGCCAGCTGGGAAAATAGGAAACCAGAAAGCTGCAGGAGCAAGACCTCCAAGGGCCGGACATACCATGTGCAACAACAGCCATTTCTGGGATGGCGTCTCCCTGTCAACACACTACGCCTAACGGTGATCGACTTGCAATGTGAGGGCACTGGGTATAGGGCACGGGGTCATCTGACCTGGGAAGAGGATAGAGGGTGAGACTAGCATTTGCCCTGACCCTGGGCTGCAGAACTGAGGCCCAGAGAGGTTAGGGAAGAAGCTCAGGGTCACACAGCCAGGAGGCCTGAACTCTTAACAGCAAAGATGAGCTGGCCCAGGGTACAGCATATACAAAGGCCCTGGGGTGGGAATGAGGGAGGAAGACAGGGGAGGAGAGAGAGGCACACATGCAGCTATGATGTGGCTCCAGGCTGACCTGCCTCTGTTCCCCCTGACAGAGACTCCGATGGCCCTCTGGTATGTGACCAAGGCCAGATGGCAGGAATCCTGTTCTTTATCTCCCCAACGTGTGATTCCATCTTCAAGCCACAGGTGGTCGCTGCCTTGGCCTGCTATGTGTCCTGCATCAGGGAGGTCATCCACTAGTCACCCCACCCTCAAGCCTGATGTTCAGGGTGACTGGACCCCTCCCCAGCCAAGTCTGTTTCGCAAGGGATTATGGGGATGTGTGGGGAGAAGCCGGGACTGGGTGTGCTGCAAGGGAAAAATACGTTGTGACGAAGAATCGGAAAGGCTGGTGGTGTAGTCCAGTGGTGAGCACTTGCCTAATAAGTGGGAAGCCGTGGCTTTCAGGCCCAGCATCCAAAGAACAAACAAAACCAAAAAGAATCTGAGGGCCAGGCAAGGTGGCACACACCTGTGAGCCCAGTGCTCAGGAGGCTAAGGCAGGAGGACCACTTGGAGTTCAAGGCCACCCTGGCTACATCATGAGACCCTGTCGCAAAACAGAAGAATCTGTGAGCTTCCTCCCACTGCTTCCGTTCAGGTGGCTGCTCCAAGCTCCTTCAGGCAGGGACACAGGTGCCAGCAGAGGGCGGCACCGGCCAGCACAAGGGGCCCAGACAGCAGACATCCTCCACCAAGGAAGCTGGGTGTGTGTGGGTGACGTACGGAGTTGGGTCCTTGCACAGACCGTCCCCGCTCTCTGTGCCGACTTCTCATGTATTCAGATGTGTGACGTTCCGCACGTCCACAGAGCTGAGGGGTGTGGTCCAGTGGTTTCAGCACAGTGTTGTGCAACTTTCAACTCTAATTTCAGAACTTTCCACCACCCCGAAGAAGGCTCCTTCCATTCCCACAAGCAGTTCCCCAGCCCCTCCCAGCCCCGGCACCCAAGTCCACTTCCTGTCTCTGGAGTCACCTGTCCTGGGAGTTTCCTGTCCGTGAAGCCCACGCTGTGCCCTTCATGTCTGGCGTCTCTCGCTGAGGACGGCGTCCTGGAGGTCCATTCACGCTGGGGAGAATGTCACAGACTCGCTCCTTTTATGGCTGTAAGGGAGGAAATCATGCTCCCTGTACCCTCCTAGGCTGTTTAAATGGGCTGTGAATTAACACAGTGCACGGGAGAACAGAGGCCCACAGAAAATGTGAGGCTTCACAAAGCTTTGGCCAGGCAGTTGCAGCTTCTGCCCTGCCCCCTAGGGGTGGTGGGGACGAGTTTCAGGAGGGCATCTTGGGTTGGGTAAACACTGGCTTATTACTGAAACGTAAAGCTTCTTGGGCCAGGCAGGGTGGCACACACCTGGAGGCTGAGGCAAGAGGATCATATGTTTAAAGCCAGCCTGGAAAATTTAGTGAGATCGTGTCTTGAAATTTAAAAAGAATCTTTTTTGTTTGTTTGTTTGTTGAGACAAGGGTCTCACCATGTAGCTGAGACTGATCTGGAACTCACTATGTAGCCCAGGCTGGTCTCGAACTCACAGCGATCCTCCTCCTGCCTCAGCCTCCCAAGTGCTGGGATTATAGGCATGTGCCACCATGACTAGCTTTTTGTTTTCTTGTCTTTTTTTTTTTTTTTTTTTTTTTGTGGTACTGGGGATCAAACTCAGGACCTCACGGTTGCAAGGCAGGCACTGGAACCACTGGGCTAAATCCCCAGCCCTGTTTTCTTGTCTTTTTAGACAGGGTTTTGCTATGTAGTTCAGGCTGGCCTTGAGCTCATATGTAGTCCAGGCTGGCCTTGAATTCAAGGCAATCCTCCTGCCTCAGCCTCCCAAAGTGCTAAGATTACCGGTGCATGCCACCACACCTGGCTTCAAAATTTTAAAAAATGTTTAAAGTGCTGGAGTGTAGCTCAGGGGTGAGTGGTTGCCTAGTTTGTTTAGGGCCCTGGATTCCATCCCCAGCACATACCCCTGCCCCATCAATCAAAATGAACTTACAACATTGTACTTTAAGATCTTAATTGGCTTTATTTTTGATTCTGTACTTCCTCCCAGAGACCTAGGCCCATATAGGGCCACTGTCCCTCCAAGGCTCCCGGGAAGGTCCTTCCTGTCACCTCCAGCTTCCAGGGCTCCCATTTACCCTTGAAGTATAGCCATGTCACTCCATAAATCATAAGTGTTTCAAAGGCCTGAGGTAACAAAGCTAAAGTTATATAGACAGAGAAGGGCTTAGAAGAAGCAGAAATAAAACCAGGAAACAACTGGGTGTGGCAGTAAACGCACGCCTGTAATCCCAGCACTTGGGAAGGAGGCTGAGGCAGGAGGATTGCTGTGACTTAAAGGGCATCCTGGGCCACATTGTGAGTTCAAGGGAGTCTGACCCTGTCTCAAAACAAAACAACCAGCCAGGCATGGTGGCTCACGTCTGTAATCCCAGCACTTGGGAGGCTGAGGCAGGAGGATCACTGTGAGTTCGAGACCAGCCTGGGCTACATAGTGAGTTCCACATCAGTCTCAACTACATTAGTGAGACCCTGTCTCAAAAAAACAAAAACAAAAAACCAGAGGCAGGTTGGGCATGTTAAAATTACTCTCAGGCATTCATGCCTGGTGGTGCACACCTGTCATCTTAGGAGGCTGAGACAGGAAGATGACAAGTTTCAGCCCAACCTGGGCAATTTAACAATTTAGCAAGATCCTATCTCAGAACAAAAGGACTGAAGATGATATTATTTAAAAATTACCCTTCTGCAGCCGGGGATTTAGCTCAGTAGTACCATGCCTGCCTTGCAAGTCAAGGTCCTGAGTTTGATTTCCAGTACCAAAAAAAAAAAATTACCCTCCTGCTACATGGGTTGTCATTTTCTTGCAAGGACTGGGGGTCAGGGCCTCACTGACCAGAGGCTGGAGCAGGTTTTAGAGTTTTGCCTGCATCTCTACCATCCTGATCCCCAGGTGAGATGAATACTTTGGCCTCCACTGGCTCCCTGGGATTCTGGCCCAAGTGACTTTTCCTTAGTGTGTATCTTGGTTTCCATACTAGAGATTGAACCCAGGGCCTTTGCACTGAGCCACATCCCCAGCCTTTTTAAATTTCACTTAAATTGTTTTTGAGACAAGGTCTCTCTGTGTAGTCCAAGTTGGCCTTGAACCTGCTATGCAGCCCAGGCCGGTGATCCTCCTGCCTCAGCCTCCCAAGTGCTGGGATGATCCATGTGTGCCCTCGTACCCAGCTCTCTTCATCTCTCCGTCCTCCACAGATGTGTGGGCCATCTCCACCTGTGACCTACTCTGCTGCTGAGAGCCAGGGTGGAGGAGGAAACAGCTGCTCAGCTGGGGCTCCAACGAGGTCCTCCGAGACAGCTGGAACCCTCCTAGCTCCTCCTCCCACCAAGTGCTGCTGTGGCAGCTCCAGCTGGCTGCCGATCAGTGGGGGCCAGGCTGGGTGTGCAAGACAAGGCTTATCTCTGGCCTCAGGCATGTCCCTGCCCGACCCCACCGAGCAGGGGCTTCAAGGGGCCATGAAGCCTGTCATCCCGGCACTGGGGAGGCTGAGGCAGGAGGATGCCATGAGTTCAAGACCAGCCTGGCTACAGAGTGAGACCGGGGGGGGGCAGAGGGAAAGGGAGGGGGAGGGGGAGAGAGAGAGAAAAAAAGACAACATATGAACCACTAGTTCCAGGGACAGGCTGCAGCCCCCTGGGGACAGAAAGGACCCCAAATGTCAACCCGGCCCCACCTAGGACATGAGACCCCTTAGTGGTTCTGAACTATGTAAAAGAGGAGGAGCCTCTGAGGGTCTCATTTGGGCACAGGTCACTTGGGAGCCGGGTACCATGCAGGAGCAGCCTGCATCAGACACCGCTGACCACAGCCCAATGACCCCAAACCACATATATTTATGTCCACCTCTGAGCCCAGAGCTCAAGACCTAGATCTGTGCGGGGCATGGGCCTCTGGGGACCCAGGGTCCTTCTGGCCTCTCCCAGTACCTAGGGATCCAGGGGACCCTAGGCTCATGGCCAAATCACTCTTGTCTCTGCCTCTGTCATCAGCTGTCCCGTGTCTGTCCAGATTTCTGTGTTCATTTTGTTTTTGTTGTTTCTGTTCTTGCTATGTAGCACAGGCTGGCCTTGAATTCACAGTGATCCTCCTGTCTCAGCCTCACTTGTGCAGCTAGTATAGGCAGCTTAGTTTGGTAGAAATATTACAGGCAGTCAGACAGGGATAGGCCCTGGAGTCAGTGTAGGGGATGAAAACACATTACAGGGCCAGGAATTTAGCTCACCCTGCCTTGCAAGCACAAGGTCCCAAGTTCAATCTCCAGAACCACAAAAAAATAAAAAGGGCTGGACATGCAGAGCTCAACAGCACCACAACTGCTTGGCAAGCACAAGGACCTGAGTTCAATCCCCAGTACCAGGAAAAAAAAAAAAAAAGGAAAACACATTACAACTGTGGCTGGAGGCCCATCTGTCAAAGGCCAGGCCTCCTCAGCGAAGTGGGCTCATAGCAATCCACTTTCAGGTCCCCTCCTGTCTCTCAAGAAGCTATCACTCAATAAAGTTTTCCTACCTCTTTCTTTTTGGTACCGGGAATCGAACTCAGGACCCTATACTTGCCAGGCAGGTGCGCTGTCACTAGGCTACAATCCCCAGCCCTAAATTTTCCTACTATTTTTTTTCCCCCTTTCTTACCGGGGATCGAACTAGGGACCTTGAACTTCCAGGCAGGTGCGTTGCCACCAAACTAAATCCCCAGCCCAGTTTTCCTACTCTTAATCTCTGTTGTTCCTTAGAACTCATTCTTCGGGGCTGGGGATTTAGCTCAGTGGTTCCACTACCTGCCTTGCAAGCTCAAGGACCTACGTTCGATCCCCTAAGTTCGATCCCCTAAGTTCGATCCCTGGTTCCAAAACAAACAAACAAAAAGAATTCATTCTTCGATTTAGGGGAACACGAACTCAGCGTATCCGATATCTAGCAGGCTGGGAGTTACATTTATTGCCCCGTACTGCTGGATGTCAGCTGAGGGGTACGCCCGGATGCCAGAGTCACTGTGACTTCTTCGGGGACCCAGCCTAGAAGGTTAGCATCGTGACTGCCATGGCTTGCCAGCAAGTCAGTGTGGGAGAAAAAGGAGGAGACAGAGAGAGGACAACATAATCCCAAGTGAGAATCCAGGAGAAGGCCGCTGGGCGTTTACGGCGGCGTTTATCTTTACAACTTCTCTGCAGGCTGAGGATTTTCAAAATAAATCGTAGGGGGAGAAGAAAGAATCCTGCTGTGATCTCCCTGTGTCACAGATACCCAAAAGCCTCGGGGGGCCGAACCTTGAAACATCTGGAGACCCTCACCCTCAGCGGGAGAGTTGGCTCAGGGTCCCCACAATGTCCCCAACCCTCCCTGGCATGTGCAGGTTTTCTGACCACCCACACCCACTGCAGCACCGCTGTGGTGGCCAGGAAGGCCAGGAGGAGACAGAACTGCCTTTCTTTTCCTGTTTATTTTGCTTTATTTTTCCAGTTTGAACCATCTGCCGCTTATTGGAAAGATCACACACTCGTGAACGTGTGTCGAGAATATGCCGTCTGAGGGCCGGGGATTTAGCCCAGTGGCTCCACACCTGCCTCACAAGGTCCTGAGTTCAATCCCAGTATAGGAAAAAAGATAAAAGAATTGAGAATCCAGCCTGTGAGCCCAGAGGGGGCTGGTGCGCACCTGTGACCCCAGCACTCTAGGAGGCTGAGGCAGGAGGGTGATGGAAAGTTCAAACCCAGCCTGGACAATGTAATGACTGAGACCCTGTCTCAAAAAAATAAAAAGGGGGCCGGGGATTTTAACTCAGTGGTGCTGCTGCCTGCCTTGCAAGCACAAGGTCCCAAGTTAAATCTCCAGTACTACAAAAAATTTAAAAAATAAAAAGGGCTGGACATGTAGAGCTGTGTGAAGGCCCCGGGTTCAATTCCTAGTATGGGAGGGGGGCTTGAAATGGCGGAAGTAACTGGTGCATTTGTACCTACCATTTGCCGTTTCCCAGGAAACAGATCAGTTGAGCAGGGAGGAATGGATGTCGGTCAAAGGGTGGCCGAGAGAACCCAGCAGGTCCCAGCTCCACCCAGGCGCACCCGGCCATAAAGCCCATCCTGTAGCCTGGCTGGCGCTTCCTGCTTCCCGAGGTGTTAGACTGCCTGCCCCTCCGGGCTCTCACCCACGCCTCAGAGAGAAGCCCCAGATCCCCACAGCCTCACATCTGTCACTTGGGCATTCCCACCCTCACACCAGTGTGAGACAGCCCAGCCACCCTGAAACGGCCCACGGTGACAGAGAATGAAACTGCAGGCTGAGGGAACACCATGCAAGCGCGTTTATTTCAAAGACAGAAGGACAGGCCGGGCGTGGTGGCGCACGCCTGTAATCCCAGCACTCCGGAGGCTGAGGCAGGAGGATCGCTGTGAGTTCGAGACCAGCCTGGGCTACATAGTGAGCTCCAGGTCAGTCTCAACTAGATAGTGAGACCCCATCTCAAAAAACCAAAAAAATAAAAATAAATAAATAAATAAATAAATAAATAAAAGAAGGACAAAAAAGTACAGCTCCCATTAGCTCTTTGTCTAGTGCAGTGATGGGGAAACTTTTCTTTCCCCCATTAAGTTTCTTGGTACATTTAAAGCAAACAAGCCAGAGATTTAGCTCAGTGGATCTGCTGCCTTCCTCTCAAAATCAAGGACCCGGGTTCAATCCCAGTACAAAAAAAAATTTTTAAAAAAGGGCTGGGGATTAGCTCAGTGGTTCCACTACCTGCCTCGAAAGCGGAGGGATCTGAGTTCAATCCCTGGTACCAAAAACAAAAACAAAAAAAAAGGAAAAAAAAAAAAAGCAAACCATACAGTTACATTTATCATTAGGATCTTGTACCTTTACATAATATATCTTGGTTCTTATTTTTCCCCACCCCCCTGCCCTCCCTTCACCCCAACCTTTAGAGAGGAGCCCCCAAACTGCAACCCCAAGACCACTTATTGCAAAGCGCCAACACAGCAATTAAACCTGAACAATGAGGTCGGGGTTTAGGAAACACAACTCACACACTTGGTCTGCATGTCAACAGAGAGGGCTCTGTGTGCCCCCTGTGGCACCCATGCCATTGGCTGGCCACCACTGGTTTAGTGGATTTGAAGTGTCTGCAAAGGGAGCTGGGGCCCTTGTGCAAGGCGTAAGAACTCAATCCTATGGGAACTACACACTTTCTTGTTTGTTTGCTTGTTTGTTTTTTGAGACAGAGTTTTACTATGTATCCCAGGTTGGCCTCGAACTTATGGCCATCCTCCTGCCTCAGCCTCCTAAGTGCTGGGATCACAGGTGTGCACATACTTTTTAAGGTCCAATCTATTCGGTGCTCCCACAGTCCCCATGCAGGGCCCATGCACCCTTGAGCCCATGGCCTGCCTGATCTTCCTCGGGGGGAGGTCCCTGACAGCCACAGGCCATTTGGTAGATGTTTTTGAAATACCCTGCAGGTGGTGACTCAGCAGACTGTCTTAAAGCGACATCCTTCCTCGCTGACTAATGGAATCCTAGCTCCTATCTCAACAACGGGACCCCATCTGCCCTCACGTGCAACCCAGAAGCCCAGAGTCAGGTCCTACAGGGCCACATCCCTCAAGGTTCCTCCAAGGTTTCTTCAGGACTCTTCCAAATATGAGCTCTGCCTGCCTCAGTTCCCCAGGTAGCTGGAATTACAGGCAGGGCCACTGTGCCTGGCCCTCCTGTCTTATTTTGTTTGTTTGTTTGTTTTTGAGACAAGGTCTTGCTATGTAGTTCAGCCTGGGTTTAAACTCACAATGCAGCCCAAATTGGCCCTATGACCCTCCTGCCTCAGCCTCTGGAGTACTTAGATTACTCAGTGTGCACCACTGAGCCTGGCTCTTCTGTCCCTCCTAGGGACACTGTCATTGAAGGTAGGGCCCTCCCTATCTTATCTGGAGATCCTTCACCAATTACATCTGCAAAGACCCTTTTTCCAGACAGAGCCACTGGGCTCGGGAACCTACCTTTCCAGGTACCACCATTCATTCAGCCCTTCACCACCATCTGTCCCGGGCTGGGGATCCCCTGCCTCTCCCAAGCTCCCCTCTCCATCCTGTCACACCCTATATCACCTGGTGATCTCTGTTGCGTGAGCACTTCCTGGAGCTTGCTAAATTGCCCAGGTTGGCCTGGAACTGGCCTCAATCCTCCTGCCTCAGCCTCCCAGAGTGCTGGGATGCCAGGCATGCAGTATTTTTATTTCCTAAACCTGGCTGCCTTCGGGGCTGGGGCTGGAAGACAAGGGGTCAGAACTGAGCAGCACAGGTTGATGAGAAGCCCGTTGGTCCCCACATCACACAGCTCAGGGAGGCACTTCAGCCAAGGGGACCAGAAACTGGGACTCTGAGCCCCCCCCACTCCTGGGGGGCATTTGTAAACAAAGGCTAAAGCTTCCTGGCAGTGCTGCAATCTCTCAGAGGTCTGGACTTGGCAGGGGAAAGATAGGGCAGGGGGGCAGGAATTCTGCCCAGCAGGGGTTGTTTGTGAGCCTGCAGGGACTGTGATGCCAGCTGGCTGCTCCCCCTGGCTCCCCCTGCAGCCCTCTTCCTGCACGTAGCTTCCTTCTGACCCCATCTGGGTGAACTTCAAGCCTGAAGGCCTTCGGGGTAGGGGCTTCTGTTTTTGTTTTTGTCTCTTGAGGCAGGACCTCTCTATGTAGCCCAGGCTGGCCTCAAACTTGTGGCGATCCTCCCGCCTCAGCCTCCCAAGTGCTGGGAGGACAGGCATGCGCCACCATGCTCGGCTATTTAAGAAACGTGTGAGGGTCTGCTGGGCTGTCGCAGGTGCTGTGCTCTGTTCTTTACTAGCAACAGTGGGAAGGTACCCATTCACTGCAATCTCACCAGCCTGCTCTCCTGTGCTTCTTAGATTCCGTTCTACTTAGTGGGTAGAAAGTGTCTCACTGTCTCTCTCTTTTTTGGGGGGAGGGGTTTGAGTCAGAGTCTCACTATGTAGTTGAGACTGACCTGGAACTCACTTTATATCCCAGGCTGGTCTCAAACTCACAGTGATCCTCCTGCCTCAGCCTCCAGAGTGCTGGGATTACAGGCGT